GGTTTATACTCATCCAGTCCTACAAATGATGGATTGTAAACACTACCAACCGGATGGGGGTTTATACTCATCAACCGAAGGGTCGGCTACCGCAAGAAGGAGCATCCTGAAGCCACAACCAACCGAATGGGGGTTCATACTCATCAACCGAAGGGTCGGCTACCGCAAGAAGGATCATCCTGAGGTTTTACCACGTGTCAACCAAAGGGGTCGGCTACCGCATGAAGGAGCATCCTGGAGGCACACACACACATTTTTCATCCAGAGGGTCAGTCACCGCAAGACGGAGCATCCAAAGGACAGCCGGGCAAGAGGGTTAACTCCTTCACCCTCCAGCCGACCTTTTGGCATAACAAGCCAACAATCGGCTAGTCAGGTGAAGGGGGGGTAGATATAGACCACAAATCTTGTCCGACCTCAAAATGAAGAACAGAAGACCTCCAATTTGAAGATGGACAAGGCCAAAAAGGTCCCTAGGATAGACTAATAGGCCCCATATTAGAGTAGGAAGGTTTTTTGTACTCAAAAAATAAGGAATTCCACCTGAAAGGTCGAGACCGCCATCTCGCTTAGCAAGACTGCCGTCTCGCCATCGGCAAAGGGCGAGACCGCCGTCTCGCCACTTGCCAATGGCAAGACCGCCTTCCCGTTTGGTGAGACGACATTCTCGCCATTTGACAAATCGATACCACCTTCTCGATTGGCGAGACGACCGTCTCGCCATTTGTCAAAGGCGAGACCGCCGTCCCATTTGGCGAGATGGCGGTCTCAACCTTGCCAGGCGAGACGACCGTCCCCACCTGACAGGCGTGAATCCCTATAAAAGGAGGGCGCTCTCCCCTTCATTTCACACAGTTCTTCAACCTTTCCTTCTACAATTTCTTAAAATTCTTCTCCTAAATCCCTCTGAAGCATTTTCGAAGTTTTCTTAGTGTTCTTAGAGAGTATTTTGTAACGTTGCGAGAAAGAGCGATCGACGTTGTAGAGTGAAGGACTGCCAAAAAGCGTCCTATTCCAAGAATATAAATCACGAAAGTTTGCTTCGAAGGTTCCCAATACTTTCTCTCCTTCTTTTACCGCTATTTCCTTACATTTATCTGTGCATTAGCTGCTAGGGCCATGTAGTCACTATTTTTTTAATTCCGCAAATAAAAGGGTAAAAGCATCATTTTAAAGTTTATTTATGAAATAAACGGTCCATCATAGGGAACCCGAAAGGGGCGTCATAGGGGTGCTAATACCTTCCCCACACGTAACTAACTCCCTTACCCGACTCTGGTTATAATGGCCAAGGTTGGTTCTTTAAACCAATGCCTTCTTTTTTTCCTTTTCCGATGTTTTCGATAAAAACATCGGTGGCGACTCCATAAGAATCTTTTTTGAAAACCTTATCCTTAGGTCCAGCCCGATTATCGGACAACCTAAAGGCGTTGTAACACAACTTTTAAAAACACGAAGCGCAAGTCGAAAACCATCGCGTCGCTCCAACCTCCTTTTTTTATGGCGGCGACAGTTATAGTTTCTTCATTCTTTCATTTCTATTTCAATACTATTTTGTCTTGGTGTCTAGAAGATTGGGCACTGGTTCTGCAACTGGAACTTGGTTGCAGGTTGGGTTCAAGAATTAGAATTTGGTTCCTGATGCAGGTTGGGTGTTTTATAATTCTGTTCTGTAATCAAAACAATTTAAGTCTAGTGGAACTCAACTGGAATTTGGTTGAGAACTGGACGTAGCCCAGTGATTTGGGTGAACCAGTATAATTCTTGGTGTTTCTTTTCCTCTTCCATCACTTTCTTTAATTCAGCTTGAACCTTATTCAATTCTGTTTGATTTTCTTGGTTTAATACTTGATCATATTTCTTAATCTTTGAAATTGGTAATTTGTATTTGTAAATTGCGAAAATTTTGGAAAGATCAATTCAACCACCCCCCCCCCCCCCCACCTCTTGATCTCAGCCTATAAATCTAACAAAAATGAGTCTCTAAAATTTAAGAAAAAAAATGCTAAGAAAAATCAAAGTGGAGGGTGAGGACGAGGTCTCCCTTTTAGTCATGCTCCTAGTGATCCTCCAAGGGATGACCTCTCCGATCTCTAGGGCAACTAGGGACTCATCACTTACCCTCTATCCTTCGTAATGTTCTTTATCAAAAATAATATTCTTCAAGTAGTGAACTATTGATATACAGCACCCTAACAACATCTAAGCTGCATCTAAATAGTTAACAAGCCCCATAATCCTAAATGGTCTGACATCATACGAGTAAAGGAAACCATCACCTGATCTCATCCCCTCTGCTATCATGTTAAGATGCCACATGGAATCAACATGGGATTGTTAATAAACACATGATACTAGGTTAGTGGACCTTCCATTCCATGGAGAACATACGACATTGGATGAGGAGGTGGGGATTTCACCCACAACATATAAAGGATCCCAATAGTTGATTCGACGAGCAAAACTTGACAAAATTTTAATATCTTCTTTGTCCTCGAGAGATAGTAAATACTCGGTCTGAGACTAGAATGTATTAATAATTTATCAATACAAAGGAAAACAAGGTGTATGGTCAATATTGAGAAAAAGTCTTCATGATGTATAATCCCAAGCACATTTTATCTTGAAAAAATGACTCTAGAATTTTTTTAAGGATGAAGAGTAAATGGTAAAAAAGTTTTCGTGTTAAGACCCATTAAGGAACACCCAACCAACCTCTTGACTAATACATGAATAATAGGAGTCAAACAAAGGATATCACACAAAATTTGGAAACCTGTTGAACAAGTTCAACTATTAAAGTGAAGCTGACTAGGGGAAACACATAGAATAGACAACATATCACATTCAAAATCCGTGAAGGGTAAAAGTACATCCAATTCTTTAAAAAGACATCATATACAAAGGTAAAATCCTCATATTTTAAATTAGGTTTCATATAAACACGATCGATGGGGGAACAAACCTCAAAACAAGTTCAACACTGGAATCAGAACAAATACTATAAGCCTTACAAATATCCTTTAAAGAAGATGTGGAAGTAAAGGCATAAGAACAATGGACTACCTTTCCGAGTATCCAACTATACTCGAGATCCAATATCAGAGGAAAAACCTAATTTTCCAACTCTCCCTAATGGAACTTGGACCAATCTTAGTCACTAACGTCTAAAAGAGCTATTACAACAATAACAACCACCATAAAAGGGGAAAGAGATACTATTTTCTTTATAATGGAAGAGTTTGATAAACTCTTTTCTCTTATATTCTTTTGTTCATATTTTTTTATATTCTCTATTTGCTAATACTCTCATTTTTATACTGATTTAAGTATCAAAATATTTTTGTCAATAGACCTCTCACTTTATTCAACCTTCATTCAACATTCAGTATAATTTGACCTAATAAATTTCAAGATATTCATTGTCAAGACTGACGTGTCCAAGTTCTTTGACCAGTCTCATTAAAGAATGTTCAATTCTATAACTTCTTGCACGCACACACACACACACACACACACACACACACACACACACACACACACATATATATATATATATATATATATATATATATATATATATATAATTTGAATTCAAAATTTAATAATCATTAAATATATATTTATAATTTTATTCTTTTAACTATTTATATTTATTTATTATTTATGAATAATCGTGATCAAAATCTAGCTTAAGGACACAGCAAAACTGAGAAATCAAAATCGAAATTATTCACAAATCCCAAAGCGGAACCGAGAAGTTACCAGTTGCTAGGGATGGCAAAACGAGCCGGCCACGCTTTAGCTCGCCCGCTTGGCCCGCCAAAGCGGGCGAGGCAGCTGGCCGATATAGTCATGACGAGCTGTAGACCTTGGCCGTCCCGCCAAGAGCGGGCTGGCGGCTGGCCCGCCATAATTTAGAAAAAATATTTTTTTTAAAATAATTTTTTTTAATAAATTTAATAATAAGATTATTATTTGTTTGTCAATAATTCAATATATATATATTATTTCAATTTAATAATATAAATCAATACATTATTTTAAGAAATTATAATTTAGAACAATAATAAAATTTACATAATAATAAATAATAACAAATATATATATATATATATATATATATATATATATATATATATATAAATAACGTTAAACTTATAAAATTTATATTTTTTATATTGAAAAATTCTATATCTTTTTTATTTGATAAAACTTCATATTATTTTTGGTTGAGTAATTCTTATACCTTTAATTCAAGTAATAAGGATAAATATAATCGGTGCTTAGGATAAATAAAGAGAATATTAGATAAGGTTATATTTTAGGAAGGAGAATATTTTATGTGAGAATGAAACTTTTTTAATTCTCTTTTTAAAATTTTTAACTTCATATATTATCTTTATAATTAATTTTATTACAATAAAAAATTATTTTTTTATTAATTAGGCAGGCCGTGGGCTCGGCCCGCCCAGTCCGCGAGGTTGGCCCGACGGGTTGGCGAGCTTGGCAGAGCGGGCCAAAACGGGCTGGTGAGCTGAAAACACCAACCCTCCCCGCCATATTATGGCGGGCTGGCGGGCCAGCCCGCCGGGCCTAGCCCGTTTTGCCATCCCTACCAGTTGCAACCCTTTACAAATTCCATCGGACATTACAAAACTTGATCTTGTCAATAGAATTTAAAGCAAGACCAACATTTGAAGCAGAATTTAACATGTAAATGAGACTTACAAAATTGTAAAATCTATTCATAAACATCCATAATTATTTAGCAACTCCAGGCCTGGCCAACTAGCATGTCCAGCATTGCTTACATGTCTGCTTTAAAAGAGCAAAAGTATAATTGTCAAAGAAAGTTGAGAAGATACTGGGTGGATTCATATCGTCTCTAATGATACGAGTGTACACAATGTTTTATACTATATACTGTATGAAAGTTTATTTGTGCCTAAAAATAAAGGAAGAACTAAAAACACTTTCTGTTTATCTGCTTACCATTTTCATCTTGTTCCAATTTTCCGTAGCTCATGCAATCGATGAGCTATGTCTTGGATAAATTTTTTTCCATCATGGCTATTATGAAGAGAATTTGTTAGGTGCTCAAGAAGATCATGATTAAGTTCAATTGCTTCTAACCGGTCATTAAGGTCTGATATTTCATTCTCTATAGCAACCAGTTCAAGTTCTCTTCTGGGTGTGGAGATTGTGGGTCCAAGAGACGTAGAATGATTGTTTCCTACACTAAGAGAACAATCATCTGTAGCAGCTGATCCATCCTCATCAATATGATTTCCATTCAACATACTAATGTTTTTCTGTATGGACAAGTCAGTCTCGTCATGACCATCTACTTGAGGGCCTTCACCATTACAAGCTCCTTGTTGATTTGATTTACTACTGACTTCAAGTTTCTCATGTCTGTCTTTAGGCGCATGCAAATAAATTTGATGAACTTTCTGTTCCAAATTTTTCAAACATTGAGTAATGTATTCCTTTTCCTCTTCAAATTCTAAAACCGAGGTTCCACCAATCATAGCTTCATCGCAACCTCCGGATAATTCATTCTTTAAACTGGAAAAATTGCTCAGGATGTTAGGCACACCAGTATTTTGTGCTATGTCATTTTCTCGTTTCAAATCCCAACTTTCCTTTTGCATATTGTGGACCATTGGCTCAACATCCGGCATGTTTGATCTATAAAATTCCAGCTCAGCTTCCAAATCTTGTACCTCCTTTTCCTTTTCAGTGAGTAGATCATTGACTTTCTGCAATTCATCATTATCATATTGTGCTTGCTCTTCCATCATTCTTAAATATTGAAGAGTCTCCATCTGCAGTGCTGCCTTCTCCTCCTGTAACCTTGTAATCATAGACATTGCTTCGTTTGTAGCAACAGCAGAAGCGTTTCTTTCTTCATCCAGTTCCTTGTGTAAAGATTCCAAGCATTTCCTGTAATAGTCAATATGTCGCCTCAATCTATCAGCATAACACTCTCCTTCAATTTCAGCAATATTGCTATCATCCAGAGATTCAAGATCAGATTCCACCGAGGATGACTTTTGAAGTACCTGAACTCCATTTATACTAGAAGCCTCAGCATGTGTCTCAGGTGAGTCAACATGATTTATAGGAAAAGATGATGGTATGTTAGACCCATTAGAAGCAGAATTATCGGATGGTCTTTGCTCCGCTTCTTCCTTGATGGTATCAACTTCCTCAGTGGTTGGTTGTTTTATGACAAAACCAGTTTCTTCTCTTTCCTTAGTGACGACAGAGAACGTATTCATGTTACTTGAGTTCTCTTGACTAGGATTTGTAGGAGCAGCATCACATACCACCGGATCAGTCTCAGTAGTTGCTTCTTCCTCTGTACCAATCTTCTCTAAAACTTCCTCATTCTTTTCAGATACCATTCCAGTATCACTTGCTTGAGCAACATCTACAGCTGGAAATATTTCAGAAAGCAGATACTAAACAAGTATTTTGAATAATAAAATTAGAAATACAAAGAAGAGAAGTGTTACTTTTTTCTGATGATGCTCCAGCGTGTGCATGCGCTCCGTTCAAAGACAGAAGCTCAGATAAGGAAGCAGGAAGAGAATCCTGAGAGGAAGTAATCTTACTGTCTTCTGGTTTCGATTCTCTATTAGGAACATTCATAACAATAGGTGATGGTGAAACCTCATCTAGTGAAATGAGCTCAGCCAGGTCAGAACTGAATGACTCTTCATTTGCTTGCTGCAAATTAATTTCTACTGCACAATTGGAATTTAGGTCTTGATGTTTGCTGACATTAGCCTCCACGCATTGATCTGAAGACATGGGTTTGGCAGAACTACCACTTGACTTTTCCGGATTCGAATCACTCGGAATACGTTTTGTAGGAGGTGGTGATGCAATTTGAGCCATAGGGTCATTAATGGCTTCAATGTTCTCATGAAACACACTACTGATGCTGACATCATCGTCATCTGAAAATGGAAATTCAGACTCAGAATCTGAAGCCAGTCTCAGCTCAGAGTACCCACCATGAGATAACGGCTGAAAATTGCTTTTTCCCTCTAATCCACAAAATTTATCCTTCATTTTCCACATGTTATCCCGGTGATTTAAACGGCTTTGCCTTGGTGCACATGGCAAAGGAATATATGGCTTAAGTACAGCTCTCCCAGGTGATTTTAGTTGGATAGATCTTGGGGAGTTCTGATCTGACTTCCAAACCTTACCACAACAAGCACACTGTCTTGTGCATGATCTTGCACCCTTAGAGCCAGCAAACAAATCTCTGCTTAGTGATGGACTTTTGAAACCAGAATCACCAAGAACCAGCCCAAATTTACCCACCAACAATCTGTGAGATTTTCCATTTCTTTTGGTCTTTGCAGTGACTGACAGAAGACAATCATCACACATCTTATGCCCATTTTCTAGCTTACCATGAATATGACACAAAACGAGAGATGATATTTCTGATTTGTGATTGCTGCAAAACTGGTTCTCGTAGAACTCTGGCCTTTCACGGCTTAAGATGTGATCGAGCCTAGAACACAACAAGCAAGGCAATTCCAGTCGGCAATAACTTGCAAACATGGTGAGCATATATGACAGCAAGGCATCTAGTAGCAGCAGAAATATCAAAACCCACTCACAAGCTGCAGATGTAAGAAGGGAAATGAATTCCTTCATCCTCTTTGCTTTGACAAATGAAGTTCCCTTACCACTGGATGCCATCTCCACCACAGTTGCTCTACAAATCCACAAGACTCATGATAGGACAGGGAAACTCATCAATCAAATCACAGCCACCCAACTCAAAGCCCAAAATTGCCTCACCAATATAGATGATGAGCTAAGGCTAGAAGGCTACAAAAATGGCAACAAAACAACTACCATTAGACTCAAATTCAAATTAAAACTCAAATTAAATGCATTGCATTTAATACTTTTACTTTAAGAACACATGCATCTTCAACCATAAACAATCCTACTCGAACTGAAGAATATCATGGTAGATATGAAAAAAAAAAAAAAAAAAAAAATAAATCTAATATTTAACATGGTCACACATATTCAGGATTCAAACTCAAACCTAATGGTTAAATCAGAATAACAATGCATGCTGGATTGCATTTAGTTGACGCGCCATTTTAACAATGAAAAATTCCAGACATCATCCATAATTATAGACAGCACAACCACAACCACAACCAACATCAAATAAATTGAGCATAGCCATAAATAAATCCTCAACTCCTTAGACAACGAAAAGAAATAAATAAATAAATAAAAGGAACATATTTTCATTTTATTGGGTAATTGATTGATGAAAACGAAATATACACTTCCCTCGTCGAAACCACCTATACTAATAAATTATGAAGTAACCGTAAAAATGATCAGAAAGTGAATTGAAACCAACCCAACCGTAACGCATTAGGCCTTAGATTACCAACTACCAACTGCAATTTTAGTTACCAGAATTAAATCAAATGAATTCAAAGGACACAAATTTAAAAAATAAATTAACTAAAAAAGTGGTGGACAATTCACAAAATTGCGTGATTTATTAAATTTTGTTCTCATTTTTTGATGCTGGAAAATGCCGGTACCTGTTCTGCTCTGCAGCTTGCGAAAGAGAAAGAGAAAGACAGAGATGAGGTACAGAGGCAATTTCTGATCAAACATGACATAGAATTTGTCTTTCTTTCTTTTCTTCCAAAAAAGGAATAAAGAAAAATATAAATGAAATAATAAATCAAAACAAAATAGTAAAGAAAGTGAAGATTGAAGAAAAATAAGGCGCGGAATTGGATTTACGAGTCGGTCCCTCTCCGCTTGATCCAGTGACCGTTGCAAATCCAGCTGAAAATTAATTTTAATTTGTTAAAATATTTTTCTTTGAATGAGTTTAACTTGATAATTCATGTGCTGTTATATTGCTAAATGATGGAAAAAAATTTATCAAAAAATAATTAAATTTTAATAATTAATAAAAGTATTTATTAAAAGTATGATAAATACTATTTATTATAAATAATATATAAGTTCATGGTTTTTGCAACTGCTCAACACGTTGCTATTTCACAGCTGCAATAATGGATGACTTTGCTATCAATCATTTAAAAAAAAGAAAAAAAAAAAAAAAAAAATATATATATATATATATATATATATATATATATATATTCCATTAATGTGTTTCTATATATTTTAATATTCTGAAACAATGGATAATATCTTTTCTTATATATTCTTCTTTATTTCTTTTCTAAGTAAACAAAATAAGAATCCTTGGAAGAGAATAAGTTCATCCTTGGAAAGTAACTAATTGTAAACATGAAGGGACATATATCTTCATTGCTAGATTGAATTTAGTGTTGATTATTTTCTGGTTGGTGGACTTTGATAATCAAATCAACCAACTCAACTTGAAGTTCCATAATTAGTTTGAATCATTTTGGGTAAAACTCAATTAATCTTACCAATTATTATTTTGGGTTTCGTTTCGTGCCACTTGTAATAATTAATAATTAATACTTACTTTTGGCTCTTAATTTGTGATTTCAATCCCAAGGATAAAACAAATAGGATATTTTTTTAAGTGATTAAAAAATTCAACTGATAATATTGGTTCTACTGGAATAGGAATGATAATAAAGTGGATTCGCCATGTTTTAGATTGTCCTACCATGATTAGGTAAAATTGAACTGGGGTGACTCAAAAAAATGAATAACATATTTATTCAGTTTGTCATGTATTTTTGTAGGCTTGGGATCTCATTGTCTTCAAAAGAAACTGTTAAGTTCAATAGAATACATAAAATACTCAAATAATGAAACATAACTTACAAACTCTCACAACAAAATATTTAAATTCTCAAATAAAATCTAATTACATTTACGTCCACAAACTTTAAATGAAATTTCAATCTAATTCAACATACGTTTCTCAAGGATTTTGTCAAATACAAAAAATACATTATCACGTATATCTAATTAAATTGTTTATTACATAGTTTACTAATTAATAATGGATGTAAATTTTCTAGAGTCTTAATAATAATTTTATCTAATAGTATTAAAAAAAAATAGTACTACATCGTTAATATCTCAAGATAAATTGTGACAACGTGATTAATTAACAATATGGTTAATATATCAATATTATACAATATAATTAAACTATAATTAAATTAATTAGTTAAACATGTTGATCATGTTGTTCTTTCCTTTGTAAATTAATTAGTTAAGCAATTTGAAAAAAAATAAACATGGATTTACAATTTAAAGATTTAATTGGGTCTTAAGAAATAGCATTATAACACTACAAGAAAAATTTAAATTTTCGACGGACAAAATTCGTCGGTAAATAAGAAAATCCGTTGGTAAATAGATATTACTGACAGATTATCGACGGTCTTAAATTCGTCGGTAATAGTGTTGTCGGTAAAAATTACCGACAGATTTTGCTAGTCCGTTGGTAAATGTTATGGATAATTACCGACAGATATTTTCGCAGGTAATTTAGTGACGGATATATCTGTCGGTAATTACCCATGACATTTACCGACGGATTTTGCTAGTCCATCGGTAAATGTCATGAGTAATTACCGACAGATATTTCCGTTGGTAATTACCAGTTATATGCACAACTTATCGACGGATTATCCGTCGGTAAATCCGTCGATAAAATCACTTCTATTTTCAAAGTAATTATATTTTTTTTTTTCATCTCATATAACCTGTAAAATAACATTCAATCCAGTCCAATTCAATAATTTATTCAACAATTCAATTAAACATAAACCTAACTCAACTTAATCATAAGTAAATTCAAATGTACTGTAATTTATGCATAATAAAACATAATGTATAATCCTAAAACAAGAATCAACATACAAGTAGAATTGCAATATTATTCTATAGATGTTTGTATAACATTTAATAATGAGAATAATAAGGAGAATGATGTTCTGGTATGTTGTCTTCCTGTGGTGGGTTATCTTGTTACTCTTCAGCACCTGCTTCACTATGTTGACGCTGTTGAACAAGAGGTTGTGTAGTGGGGGTAGAAGATGACCAACAAGGGATTAAAACTCTCTGAATTGGTGCTCTAGTCGTTTATTCTGTTAGAAAAGTAGTTTTAGATCAAGAGGGGGGGTGAATTGATTTTTGAAAGTTTTTCGCAAAATAACAGATTATGTAATTCAAAAATTAAGATTTCAGATCTGTTCTTGAATCACAAAGCAATCAATCAAATATAAACGCAGTGACAGAATTAAAGGAGAGAAAGGTTAAGAAAGATATCACCAGGTGTTTTATACTTGGTTCACCCAATACTAGGGCTACGTCCGAGTCTCCGACTAAATTCCAGTTGGGTTCCACTAGATTAAATGTTTCATGATTTACAATCTTACACTTAATCTACCACAAGAACCAAATTCTAGTTCCCGCACTCAACTTCTCACCAAGAACCAAATTCCAGTTCTTGATAACCTCTACAACCAAATTCCAGTACGAGAGAAACCGAGTGCCCAAATTCCGGGCACCAAACAATACAAAAAGAATGTAAAGAAATGAAAAAGAAGAAACTAGAATGCTCAAACCAGTTTATGCAATTCGCATGACGTGTTTCTTCTTCAAAAGAAGT